TTAAACCCCAAGCCTCAAGACCCTATCTAAACCCTAAACCTGAAAAACCCTGAACCCTGCACCAGTAAGCCGGCAAGGCGTTGGAAGAGCTTTTGCCTTCAGGCCTTGGAGCCTGAGAGCATACAGGTTTAGGGTTTAGTGTTTAGGGTTTAGGGTTTAGGGTTTAAAGATCTTCCGGATAAGGGGTTTAGGGATTAGGGTGTATGGTTGAGAGATGAGGGTTTAGGGATTAGGGGTTAGGGGTTTGAGGTTTAGGGTTCCGAGTTAAGGGTTTCGGGATTAGGGGCGTAAGGTTTAGGGAGTAGGGTTTCGGGATTAAGGGGTTAAGGCTTATAGGGATTAGGCTTTGGGGATTATATAGGGGTTAAAGATTTAGGTTTTAGGGTTTGGAGATTAGGGGATTTAAGGTCTAGGGACTAGGCTTTAGGGATTGGGGGGTTAAGGTTTAGGGATCAGGGTTAGGAGATTTGATGTTTAAGATTTAGGGAGTAGGGTTTGGGGTTTAGGGCTTGTAGTCTAGGGAAAAGCGTGTAGGGTGTAGGGGCTTGCCAATAGGGTGCTCTGGAAGGGGATGTGGGACTCCCAACCACGGAATACACCTTAAGTCCTAACAGGGCTTAAGGCCTTGCATGATATTAGGTTCAACATCCGAATATCACCCAGGGTATATTGCTGAGTAGGGCTTTCTGGATTTAGGGTTTGCCTTCTCATTGCAGAGTATAAGGCTTGAGGCGTTGGATTCAGGGCTGCTTGTGTCTACCTAGAGTAACCTATACACCGAGGAAGCAGGATTTTGCAAATAATGCTTTCACATGTTTACCCTTTTTTAAGGGTCCCCTAAACCCTCAAACCTAAACCCTCCAACCCACTGGTAGTTTCAACTGTTTCATGCCCAGGTATAACCCCAAATGCATACCCAAAGAGCCGGGCTACAGGTTTAGAGTTTGGGGCCTAGGGGTACATGTCACCAAGAAATCAGATACAAAGCCTCCCTACATCCTAAACCCTAAACTGTTCATACATTGATTTGATTGCTCAAGGTGTTCCTGGGGTTTGTCAATTGCGGGGTATCGGCCTGCCTGAGCAGGTAACATAGCGAAGTTGCTGCTAGGCTTCCAATGGTCCGCAGGGCTTAAGTCCAAGGAACCCACTGGCCACACGGTTCAGGTTTTTGAGCATGAGGAAGTATTTAAAAACATATCAGTAGTCAGAGTATATTGGGCATTTTAGGAATGATGCTAAAGTGTAATACGCCTTGTGTATGACCTGGTCTTGTCAGAGACCCAGTCCCACGGAACCCAAAGCGAAAACAGCTAAGCACTTGCTCAACACCTTGTTGCGCAAACCCTTACTCCGAACCTTTAGATTCGGAAGGAGCTTCTCAGGGATTCCTTCACATGAAGCCTACCTTACACCCTGATGCGTTTAGTTCCCTACTACGTTCCGAAGTCCCACGAACCCCGGTACCTCACCAAGACCCCAGGCCCAAACCCTAAACCCTAAACTCTAAACCGTAAAACCCTAAAACCCTCAAACCCTAGACCCTAAAATCCTAAACCCCTAACCCCCAAACCCTACAACCCTAAAACCCTAACCCCTAAACCCTAAAACCCTCAAACCCCAAAACCCTAAACCCTAAAACCCTAAAACCCTAAAACCCTAAACCCTAAAACCCCAGGACCCCGCCCTGGACCCCGAACCCTGGAGTGACTGGGAAAGGCCTTGGAGCCATGAAGCTTGAAAAGGCGCGGTTCGCTTACTTTAGGGTTGAGGGTTTAGGGTTGAGGGTTTAGGGTTTAGGGTTCAGGGTTGAGGGCTTAGGGTGAGGAATAAGGCTAGTATGACATTTAGGGATTATACAAGGATGATATTCTCTTGCTCCCTACGGCTTCCAGTAAGTAAGCAGGATTTGTGTTTTCTGTGTGGGGTTGTATAGAGATCCTGAGGGTGTTTGAGAGTGGCCACATATCAGATAGTGACCCTAAGCCGAAGCAATAAACCTGAGGATGTGCATGAGGCGGTTCTTAACAGGCATAGTAGCGTGAGTGGGGCTTCGAACCTGGATTTGAAGAGTGTACACACCTGAAAAACGAATCGCATTATCTCTGAACGACTACGTTAGCTAGTCTGCCCTCAGGAACAGTCGGATCATATCTATAACACAACTAGTTAAAGCTCTTAATCGTGCGCACCATTGTAGACTGCTACTGGGTCAGGGCAGTGCAAAAAATATTTGCGAATCAATCTAGTTGCCAAAGCAGGCATAACCCTAAGCCTTGAACTTCCCTAAGCCCGAAACCCCTAAACCCTAAACCATCTGTACATTCTCTAAAACAACTTTAGCTGCAAAGATGCATGGCGGTTTCAATGCTGCCCTAATGCCCAGCCGTAAACCCAAGCCAAAATTCCTAACTGCTCCCGCAACTGCTTTCTACGGTCCTGACCATCTTGGTTGCTGTTAAGGAACTTACGTTAATTACGTTAAGTTGCCATACCACAGGTACATACTAAGGGATGGGGTTTGTTTATTACAGTATTTTGCAAAAAGTTCTTTTAAAAGCAGCCCAGAGTGTGTCCCCCTACATATTTCCTGGGTGCTGACTCTGGGGCTGAATGGCTTTCTAAGGTTGAGAAAGTAAAAAAGGTGTCATATATGACCACAGGGTAAAGGCCCAATACTAGGGGCCCTTGCTCGACGATGGATTCGCAAGATTGAAAGGAGTTTAGGCTTCAGATTTTAGGGTGTTGTATTACACTAGTGACCCAAAGATTGAGCACAACTTCGACAGCCTACCATGTCGCGTCTAGAGAATTTCACCTTGCCCAAAATCCGCCGAAAAAGCGCATAGACGCCTCTACGCAGCAGTATAAGCCGCCCACCATCCCATCAACCCTCCCTAGAAGAACCTCAGACCTTTCGAGCAAGGCCAGCAAATACCCACAACATCCTGCGTTCTAGGTATATAGGTTACTCTAGGTCGCCCTAAACCCTAAGCCCTATACCCTAAATCAGCATCATGCCTAAGCCGTCAACCCTGCACCACCGTGCCCTCCTAGCTCTAAAGCCCGAAGCCTTTTAGGGTTCAGGGGTTTAGGTTTTCACCCTAAACCACTCTCCGCTCGACTCCTTTTTTCACTTGCCGCCGCTGCTGAAACAGCCACGCTATCGATTTTCTAGTTACAGTTTTCGGATCCAGCCTGGGTGCTCCTTGGCTGCTTTAAGAAAAAATGGGACTTCCTAATTTTGGGAAGCCCCCATATATGGGGCTTCGGTTTAGGATTAGGGTTTATAGGGCTCAGGGAGAAAAGCCTCGGCGAATTAAAGTCCACGAAGAACACTGAATTTCGGGTTTAGGATTTGGGGAGAGCACTGAAGTTGGCTCCCCAAAAAATTGATAAACATGGCCTCTTTCCGGCTATGTAGATCATAAGGGTTCATGGATAGAAGCCCTGGACTCTAAACCTTGTTGCGTGTGACTGGGTTGAATTGTTTGGGGTTTGAGAAGGAGTCAATGAGGGTGTAAGGGTTCGAGTTTGGGCGTACAGCAAGGTTCCGATGCACCCTACTGTAACCTAAGCTTAACCAGAGAGTCTAAGACCCCTTAACTTAGGAATCTAGCTTTGATCCTAATATCAACTTAGGTACATTTTTAAAGTTAGGGCGTACTGGAATCTCTAGGTTTTTTCAACCTCTCACTACACATATGCATATGCCCAGTTTTCCATGTCATCTTCCATTTTGTCGGCAAGCACCTTAACTCCCCTGTATATTCCTATGTAGCCTATGTATCCCTCTCTACCCCTACATATTGCTCTGCATCCCTTTCCATTCACAAGACCTCCCTTTCAGAACTGCTGTCAACTGACTGGGTTGCTGTTAAGGAACTTAAATTAAGTTACTAATTGGGGAAACCCTATTATTTACCATATATACCCATTATGGTAACTTAATTTAAGTTCCTTAACAGCAACCCAGTTGAGGCTTTGAATCTCCCTTTCTGGATGCCTCCTTCAGCGGGACGACGTGCGCCGCCTGCGGCCTCCACCTCGGTGCGCGGGGTTTCAGAGTCTAGGGACAAGGGTTCAGGATTTAGGGGCATTTTGCTTAGGGCTTGGGATTTAGGGGCGTTTTGCATAGGGCTTAGGGTTAGGGGCATTTTGCTTAGGGCTTAGGGTTTAGGGTTGCTTAAGTGCTTAGGAATCGATTCAGGGCTTCGTCAAGTAGGGCTGAGGGTTCATGAAGTGAAGGGCTGCGGGCTTAGGATGAGCGCTCAAGGTTCAGCTTCATAGGCTTAGTGTTCAGGTTTAGGGTTCAGGGTTGTAGTGTAGGAAAGTCTGACTTCTGCGCTACTCTTTTGTTACGATTCCTACGCCCTGAACCCCCCTTTTTTATGATGTAACTATTTTCAAAATATGGCTTCAAACTTATTGCAAGTGAATAGGCCCGGACCTTGCAGGGCTTGTAAGAGTTAAGGTCTATGTTGGTTTGAGGGTCTAGGGTTCAGGGTTTAGGCTGTACCCATGACCAAACTTAGACGCTTGAAAAAAAAGTTAAGATACAAAGGAACTAGGCACAAAGCCCCTTTTAGGTATGCAGGGGCACTCCGGGTAGGAGTTCGGCACGCAACATTTTGGTATCGTCGCTGTTTTCGTCCTACCTCGGATCCACACTCCCCCAGGCCCACTTGGAACCTGCAAAGGAGCCTAGAGTTTAGTAGCTGAGTACTCCTATAAGGGTCCAAGTGCCCCATAGCTAAGTACTTGCGATTTGGGTACTAATAATTCCGGTGCAGGTGTAAGGAGAAGTAATGATTGTTGAGTACTTAGACCCTCAGGGTCAGTGACCTTTAGTGTAGAAACCTGCCATAACCCTGATCCCTAAACCCCAGAGCCCTAAACCAGTAGACTTGTTGTGTTTTTTTTTGGGGGGGGCCGGGAAGTCGGCAGCTAGAATGGGTAATATGGGTTTAGGGTTCAGGGGCGGAGGAAGGGTATTTCAGGTATTGGCTGTTTTCGGCGCTGTGCTGGCGCTTTGCCACTCGGCGCGATGTAAGCCCAAGCTTTCTTGCCAAGGAATTCGAAGATGAAACCCATTGGCCCTGAGTATGGGCCCGCAATCCTGAGGTTCCTATATACCTGGTATATACATATGTATATTGTGTATATATATATATATACATATAACCCTGAGCCCGAAATCCCATATAGATATGTGTATATATATATACATATATGAATATATACATACATACACCATGAAGGGCACCCGGAGCCACCTGAAGCAGGCCCATGGCCCATGTTAGTGGCTCATACTTCCACTTTAAGAGGGATCATAATTTTGACAACCACCCACATCATAGATCACAGCTTTATAAAGCTAGCCCAACCCAAAACGCTGAACCCAAAAACCTAGCTGTGCTCCAATGCCCAAATTAAGGGTTCAGGTGCTCATATTCTAGATGCTCAGGCCCCAAGGTGCCTGAAATAAAACCTTCAGACTCAACTTATGTCCCAGACCTGGACCCTGTGGGAGAGCTTGAAGGGCAAGGGGGAGTCCTGAAGCAGCAGATATGTATGAGCTATAGTCAAAACTTATTGGGCTATTATAGGCGTTTTAAGCGGGATACGAGGAGTTTTGACAAATAGCCCTTATGAGGGGCCGTACTAGACTGGAGACCCGGAGTTTTTGAATCACATAGTATATTCCAGTGGGGGCAGGGGTCTAGCGGAAGGGGCCTTCTGCAGGCTGTCTCCCAAGCAAGATGCCAAACAATCTGAAACTATTCTTAATTGGCCAGCGTACACGCAAAAAACTAAAAGGCAGGGCAGTCAAAAATGCTGCAATAGCAGAGTGGTCTCAGGTTACTTCAGGCTTGCGCAGCCCGCAGACTTCGTGGCATTGCCAGAAGAGTCGACGTCTTCCAAAGGCCATGCGTTGAGTTGCGAGTTTAGGTTTTAGTTTTGCAGGTTTAGGCTGGCTGGTTTAGGCCGCATTTGCCGCAGCTGCATGTAGGAAAGTCAGTCAAGCCACTTCGCCACTTGCAGTCAGAGATCTCGTCTGTACAAGATCCAGTGACTATCAGGGCCTCGAAACGGAGTCTCCATTTCACGCAGTATTTTCGGGACTGTCCGGACAAGCACCTGAATCTCTTTCGGACATGCGCTAGGCTAGGCTATGTCGAAGCTGTAACCGTAGAAGAGGGACCTCAAAGGTCCAGAATGGCACAGTTTCCGGCTTCAGGGTTGAAGGAGGGAGGTTTGTCTAGCTACCTTTCGACAGGCAAGGACATGCCTGTAATCAAAGGCTGTATCTTGAACCAGACATCGCATTAATGGTTCAAGTATTGGACAGGACTTGCTATCGCGGCTATTACTTGCCATTCCTACTACTACTACGCGTGGGCATTTCTCAGACCTTAACCATATGTGAAATAGTTACTACCTGGATCCCCTACAATGGTTAAAGTGTCAGGGTTTAGTTTAGAACAAGGTCCTAAGCTCCAGCAAGGTTAAGGCCAGCATGTTGCCATAAGCCCTAAACCCTACGCCCTGTGAACCCTTAACCCTCTTGGGCCCTCTTGGCATGCCAGATGAGTAGATTGTGCTGTTCTTCTGTCGGTGGGCATAGTCCAAATATAAGATCATGTCGGTGCCCTATAGTAAGATCATGCCCTCCTTTGAACTAGGATCGTCCTAGTATATACCTTTAAGTTGAGGTTGTATGGCGCTTCATAGTGGGTACTTAGGCTTAAATAGCAGGGTAGTTGGAGGGTCTAGGTAAGAAGAAGATAGTCTTACCTGTCTTACCTGGTTTAACCAAACCCTAAACCCTAAACCCTAAACCCTTAACCCTTAACCACCCAAGAAACTACTAAGGTGCCTTTGGAAGAAGGCAAGCCGCACTAGTGAGTTCTCTGAGCCACGGCAGCATGGAGGGTTTGGGCGGTTTGGGGTTTTTAGGATTTCCCTGTAGGCCGAACTAACCCGCAGATTTATGTGCTAAAGTATATAATCTGTAGGTAGTGTGGATTACAAGTAGAGTTTGGGGGCTTCAGGGTCGGGATGGCAGTTTGAGGATCAGACCCAAGACAGCAGGCGGAATGCAGGGGTTGGGAGTCGAGGTTCCGGGCATTTCTTTCAGTATTTGACTTTTTGATTGAGCGCTTCATGTTGTCTCGTGTCTTGATGAATGTCCCGGCTTTGGGGTTCTAGGCCCTAGATTATTCAGTTCCTAAACCTTACTGAGTTGAATGTCAAGGACTGGCTTGATGGCTCCCGGCGCCCCAGCCGTTGCCGCAGGCGGCGACGCCTGGCCTGCTTATCCCTGGGGCTTCCAGTCTACACCCCTAAGCCCACTTTTCTATTGGGATTAGGAACCACATAAGGTCTAAAGTTTTGGATTTAGGGTTTAGGATTTAGTGTTGAGGGCTTGGGCTTAGGGGTTCTCAGAAAAAAGGCTGGGCCCTATAGTTTTGCTAGTTGTTTGGCTGTCGGAGCAAAGGTTCCCAAACAAACTGTGGCTCCGATAGCCTGCCCTTTCTGATCCCTGTACTGGCGCGCTGCAAAATTTCCATAATGTTCCTTGGTTCCAGTATAAGCCTTGAAGAAGAACAACAGTGTACATATTATATCCCCCCTATTCAGTTTATCTAGTGTCATACATTAAATTCTTTAATGACCGCTGTGGTGCATCTCCTCAATCTCTCTCTATCTTTTGGAGCCTTGCATTGAGCCCTTTCCCTGTAAACCCTAACATATTGGCATGTTGGGAACCCGCTTCCCACAAATCGGGACGCTCCTATCCCCAACGCCAAGCCCTCCTCCTCCTCCTGCAATATCTACTCCCTCCCTCTACTCCAATGTCTACGCCTACTTCTCATCCTAATATATAACCCCCACAAAATCTAGTAGTTTCCGTTTGCTTTTCCATTTTTCCCTATAATCCTACACGGCCCCCCGAGATGAGCAGGATGTAGTGCCGAACGTTTCAGTCTAACCTCTTAAAGCGGGTTACATAGGGGACTATATAGGGGAGTAGCACACCAGTTCTTATGGGGGATAATAGATACTAGGAATTTAGAGTATGACTCACATAACCCTAAAACCTAAACCCTAGACCCTAAACCCCCTAAACCCTAAACCCTAAACCCACTCAGGATGTCGTAGTGCTGAAGAATGGCCTGAAATTCCCCAAAGCATCCTTCGGATTGCAGCGCCTTTGTGGCAGGGACCAGCGGTTTAGGGTTTAGGGTCTTCGGATTTAGGGTTTGGGGTCTGGGGTTTAGGGTCTAGGGACCAGGGTGTAGGATTTAGGGTCGATGGCTTTAGCGATTTAAGGATTTAGGTTACAGGGCCGCTTAGGGGGATGGTAGGGTTAGAAGCCCAGTTGTATGTAATTGCTCAGTCTCGTTGACTTCCGCATTTTGCTTACGGTGTAGGGTGTAGGTAATTAGGGTCTGGGGGGTGGGGTTCACATAGGGCGTATACGGCTTGGGGGTTGCAGGCTTCGGGTCTGGGAGTTAGTGTGGGGTGTAAAGCCCGGGAGGAGGCTTCAAGTCCCCCTTAAGTAGATAGAATTTGGGGTATATTGGGATCTTAGAAAAGCCATAGTCTATCTACTTAAGGGGGACTATAGGGTTTGGCTTCAGCTTTAAGATTTAGGGCTCCGGGGGCCGAATTGAAGATCCGCCGGCTCGAACACCGGCCCAGAAGCCTAAACCCTCAAGCTCAAAACCCTAAATTCCTAAACCTTAAACCCCTGAATCCTAAACCCTAAACCCTACCCCCCTATATATACCCTAAACCGTAAATCCTAAACAGCAGAACTTGCACACTCTGTGCAAGTCAAGCTGGGAGGATGTTCAACGAGGGTTACAGGCTCACAGACAAATAGCTCAGCAAGTTGTAAGGATATTAGGGTTTAGGGTTTAAAGGCTTAGGGTTCAGGGTTCAGGGTTTAGGAATTACGGGTTGAGGGTTAAGGGGCTTAGGGTTCAGGGTTTAGGGTTTAGGGGTTTGAGGTTTAGGGTTTAGGGTTTAGGATTTAGTGGTTAGGGTTTCCTGCATAGTGGCAGCGGCTTCATTGATGTTTCTGCCCCAAGTACACCGTATGCGCTCCTTTTCAGTGACAGCGTTTTCTTTACGTGGGGACTCTTGCCGGGGTTTGTTGAAATTCTAGAAACCATTGTTCTGTGAGTATTCACGAAGCTTGATCCCTGATTCCTACGACGAAGCTTGAAGCTGATCTTCGAACCCTAAAGCGTAAACCCTAAACCCTGAATCCTTGCTGTTGCGGGTTCAAAGTCAGGCACCCTCTACACTGCTGGTACGGTTTTGGCTTTGGAGTTTAGGGCTTAGAGCGGTGTCTGAAAAGGGATCCATTGTTTCTTTCTAATCTACTTGGCTTACACTCCCCCAAGTACTAGCAACATCATTGTCCTTTTATACGGGGCTATGTGAGGTTCCTTGTTAGCTCGGGAAAGGCCAAATCCTATACTCCTAGATATCCCAACTAAAGCCCGTAACCCCTTTAACCCTAGAACCTTGAACCGTAAACCCTAAACCCGTTTAACCCTGGAACTAGAGCCGTAAACCTGAAACCATAGAGCAGTTTGCTAGGGCGTAAGCTATTGCCACTCCTAAGGATCTATGGCGATGACGTGGCGCAGCAGTTGACGCAGCATTTCTGGCAGCACCAGCATAGTTGGTTTAGGGCTTTGGGTTTCATAAGCGCTTATGTTTTAGGATTCAGCGCTTAGGGATTGGGGTCTCGGGCTTGGGGCTCAGGATTGTTTAGGGTTGAGGGCCGAGGGCCTAGGGTTCCAAAGAAGCAAGCGCTTCTTGCAAGATACAGTAGGCTTGAAAGCCTCCATGTTCAATAAAAATCTAGATACCCGGGATCTCCAAGTAATTGGGCTGCTGTTAAGGAACTTTTTCAATTTACCACAAGCAAGCCCTTTCATTCACTATATATCCAGAATATGCCCACTTAATTTAACCCAAAGGGTCCATGTAGCTATATGGTATATACTTAGCCTTTAAAGTAGGTATATGGGAACCCCTTTGGGCCCTAAGTATATACCATTTACCTACATGGACCCTTTGGGTAAGTTCCTTAAAAGGAACCGGGTTCTGAGACTGTTTTGGGAAGTCTTGCCCTTCACCGTGGCCTGCTGGTCAGGATTTGACGGCTGCAAGGGCTGCTAAGGGGTACCACACATGAGCTATAGTCTAAACTCCTTAAAGGGGGATTATATAGGGGGTAATATAGGGGACTACTATAGGGGTTATTACAGGGGATACTAAGAGTTTAGACTATAGCTCACATGGGTTCAATTCAACGGCCCAAAAAATGGAAGTGTTGTAGTACCGCTCTTCGATCAGCGTGCTTATAGTCTAACTTGCTGGGGGTCTCCTCCTGAGTACTGAGATGTTGAAGGTATGGGTATCAATTTCCATTCACGCGAGCAAGAGCCCCCCCGAAACAAAACCTCATGTTTCAACAGGCTGTAAAAAACATGCAATGACCCAGGACCTCCTTATCCCTTGGCTACCGGAACTTCTTTGCGTCAGTGCTAGCCACTTGTCTGCGGTGTGTCTACGGCCTGCCGCAAAGAGAAAGGCAGCATAGACGACACATGCTGTTATCTGGGAGTTTCCAAGAAGACTCCCGATGCAATCCCCAGTAGGGACCCCAAATGCCCTATGTAATCCAAATATATCCCTGCCGGTCCCCAAGGGCCCCCTATTTTGAGACACTCCCATATGGTTATCTCTGAATAGCATCAGGCAACTGAACTCTATGTCTCCATGGTCCATCAAACAAGTCAGTCCCAGCTTCGAGGGAACTTGAGCTAAGTCACTTTAGGGTCTTATAGGGTCTCAAGGGTCAAGCTACCACGACAGAAGTGTATACATATTGTACATATGCTACGTAATATGGTTTCCTTATCGTAGTAAGTTGGCTCTCTTTCCTTAAAGGCAACCCAGGCTTCCAAAAGGGCCCTGGAGGTTTTGACTACCAAATGATCGTAGATTTCCCTGGGAACTATACCTATCCCAAGACCAGCAGAGCAGAGGAGGGGAACATGTCATGTTGGGGCATGCCATTACTAAGATAGTTATAAACGCTATCGCGCGCGCCTTGGCTGGCAGGGTGCGGAGCACACAAATAGGTCACGGCGTGTAGTTGCCACATGGGGTTTAGGGACGAGGGAGTAACGGAGGCAGGCCTCACTTCAGACTTGTTTGTTGCATGCCAGTTCCAGCATTTATGGAGGGGGTTGGCTGGGCTTAGTCCATCAGCCTTTAGTGAGGGAGTTCGCAAGCTTCGAGAGCCGCAGCCGTAGAAGGGTCGGAAACTCAAGTGCAATTCGACGCTGCTAGGAGGGGGGAGAGGGGAGAGGGACAGGGAGAAGGCGGGGAGGGGATGGGCGACAAAAGGAGGTTTGGATGAACAATGTACCCACCATGGGAGGGGGGGGGGTCGCGGGGTTTAAGAGGGTTCCGGTTCCAAACGCCCTGAGGCTGGATGGCCTCGGCGAATTTTTCAGCGCGTCTACTAATACTCTGACGGTTGCGAGCTCAAACCCGTAGACCGAGGTGCCCTGAGAGCCTATCTGAAGACGCAGCCTATTCTGTACCCAGACTCCTGAAGGGCTTCTTACAATCCGCCCAACTAACATTGAGCCTGAAACGGGCTATATCCGTGGCCTAGGCCCCAAACCCTATACCAGAACTCTGCAGTAAACCCTAAAACCCCCAAACCCTAGACCCCTAGACTCTGAACCCCTCAACCCTAAACCCCTAAACCCTGAACCCCCATACCCCCAAACCCTAAACGGGAGCAGCTGCAGGCAGGCAACCAGAGAGGCTTCGCCAAAGGCTTTCAAGCGTCTGGCGCTGCCTGGCGGTTCAGCCTTACTCAGGGTTTCAGGTTTTTAGGATTCTAGGGTTTAGGCGTTTAGGGTTTAGGGGTTTAGGGTTTTAGAGTTTAGTGGTTGAGGGGTTTCGGGTTTGAGGTTTAGGGTTTTAGAGGTTGGGGTTCAGGGGTTTCCGGTTTAGGGTTTAGTGGTCTAGGGTGTAGGTATTTAGGGTTCTAGTGTTTGGGATTTAGACGCAGGGTGTGGATGAGGCATTGCAAAAATTGCTGGAGGGGCAGGTATATGAGTTTGCTTTGCAGTGCATGGTTTAGGGCTTGAAAAGGTGTTTTCTCTTGGACTGGGTACGCATCTCTCTTGAGTATAGTAAACCGCATTCAAGCATGTTCACGCCCGGAAGGTACTCGCGCAAATTATGATGACCTGACCCAAGAGGTGTTTTAACTCCAAAGCAATAGACAGTCCCAACATGCTTTTTGTGAAGACTTCAGATTTCAGTGTGACCAGAAGAAGTTTAGAACTTCTACTAGGCCAGTTGGCGGGATACTTTGTAGGACCATGAATGCATTTAAGGTCAATTTCGGATTCTGCGCAAGCAAGCTTGGAGATACGAAGCTCTAAACCCCAAACCCTGAACCTTAAAACGCCAAACCCTCAATCCCAAAACCCTACATGCATGGTTCAGGGCTGGCGATCACCTGAGCTGGAGCCGACTAAGTGGATAGTCACATAGGGCTGGCTTTGGAGGTCCCATGTCCCATAGCAAGCAGTATGATAGCTTCAGGGATATGGGAGTTTCTTAAAAGGTGAAGCGTTTGGAATTCCAAGGGAGTTATATGAATCCTAGAGGGATTGCGAGGTTCCTATGAAATGGGATTACAAAGGGATTGCTGCGAGACATGTACATACTCTAACTGCAAAACCGTCTTTGGACATATAGGCAGCGCTTAAGGTCAAAACCCCCAAACCCTAAACCCTAAAAGGGGCGCCAAATGTTTGGAATGCCTCATGTATTCCCAGGATCCTAAAGGCCAAGGGTTCATGGCCTAGGTTTTTTGGTTCAGGGCTTAAGATTTTTTACGGCTGCCATGCGCTACCGATTGTCGGGCTGTGCAACTTGAAAGAAGAAGGATGGCGCGTGGGCGCCGCCAGCGGGTTTAAGATTTAGGGTTTAGGGTTTAGGCTTCAGTGGGTGAATGGCATCTCGCACAATTTAGGGCCGTTGGATTCGTAGATTCGAAAGCTGTGGTGCTTAGGTCTTAGGGTTGTAGGCGTGTGGATTGTACCCTGATGGCCTCAGTACCCCTTAATTGAGGAAGATTCCCTAAATACTACTCGGGTAAAGTTTTCTTCAACGAAGGAATCTTGATCTTGGGCTCCGTGGGAAGGTAATGCAAGGACTCTGGATGGGGCATTCCTTGCCAAGTATGAAACCCGACCTGGAACCCAAACTACCAACAGATTCGTTGTGCTTACCACCTAATTAGCAGGTATGACGCATAAAACTGCACATACACAAGGTGATAGGTTAAACCCTATACCTTCAACCCTGAAGCTGGAATCAAGAAAGCCGCGATGCAAAGGTTCCACGGGAAGACGTTTTCATCTGCGGATCTGTTGTGAGCAACCGTGCCAAAGGCTTGACTTTGCAAGAGCTTCATGTGAGCAAGGACCAAATTACAAGGTTTCTGAGGTCTCTGCTTCATGGGTGGAAGCACAAAATGTTACCTTGTGTGGGGCTGTTGCACCAGTAGTTGTCGTCGGGGCTGGTATTTTCCGGCTTGTTACCTCTGGCTAGCAGGGGAACACAGTCATGGCAAAGGCATTGAAGATCATCATATTCTTGTTGTTTTTCAGGGACTTCTACAGGGATCCATCCCGAACCGTAAAGCCTAGACCCTATTCCTTCATTCTGTGCTAACCAGAGGTCAGGTTTCTTTCGCGCAACGTTGATTGGACACCTGTGACGTCTCTCTTTCAAGTTGCTTTACCCTACGGGTTCAAGTATCTCAACACGGAGTACTACGGGTTTGAGTACGAAGGAGCACACCTAGCATGTGCTTGGGGGAGCTTGGGTCCTGAAGGTTATGTGAGCAAGATGATATTCTCATCTCTCCCTCTCTTTGATTGAAACGGAAAAAGCGTATGAGGAGGATCAGAGGTTAGGGCTTAAGGTTCAGGCCACACAGATAGTAGCCACAATCTTTTTGGTTCCTCAAGCCTACATCGTTGGTCCCGCAGCACAAAATAGCTTTTTGTGCAGGAGAGGTAGATCCGTCGCAAAGAACCACTTGTACTCAATCGAGGCATAAATCACCATTTTGCACTTGCGTACTACAAGCACCACACCCCAAAACTTTGAATCCTATGCGGTGTGAGTCTGAAACCCTATCGAGCCCTGATTTGTCCGAATGCCTGGAGGCTACAAGGCAGCGTACAAAGCTACGAAGAAAGGATGCGAGGAGTCGCCAGCCCTACGCCCTAGACCTTACGCGCAAGGGATTTTGGAGTCCGTCTAGTGGAGAGTTTGGCATGGGAGGATTTTCGTTTTTAACTCCTGTGATGAAGACCCTCTTAAAATTTTAAGCTGTGCTTATGATGGGGCCCTAATTTTGGGAGTTATTGGGGTACCTACAACCCCATGTCATGCGCTCGGGGGGAGTCAAGAAGCAGGCCTTATTCCGCGAAGCATCCTCCTAGCTGTGGTTAGTATTATGAATACCTAAACCCCAAAAGTATGTAAAATAATAGCCCTAAACCCCTATAATAATAGCCATAAAGGCCATTATTTAACATACTTTTGGGGTTCAGGTATGCCCAAAAGGGCCTCACAGTAATTCTGACTGGTGAAAGATCCCTAAGGGTCCAAGTACCCAATAATCATATACTTACCCAAAACCTATACTACAATTACTATTACCTTAAACCCACATACCTAATTATTGGGTACATGGACCCTCTGGGGATTGTAATTGGGACAGGTTCATGGCTGGTTCAGCAGAATTCATTTTGGAGATTCGGGAGCTCAGAGGCGTCCGGCTTAGGGCTTAGGGTTCAGGGTTTAGGGTTTAGGGCTTAGGATTTAGGGTTTAGGGTTGAGGGCTTAGGGTTCAGGGTTTAGGGCTTAGGGTTCAGGATTTCGGGTTTAGGCCATTTACCTGCTCAGATCAAAGCGTGTGGGTGGCGTCGATTATCCTGGTTTTTAATTTGAGCTTCAGTTTGAGGTCGGCGTTGTAATGCAGAACTTAGGGCCAGCGCTAGTTAGTCATCTTGAAATCTGGGCTATTTTTCGGGGGGTCAGGGTCATGAGAGGTCAGCAAGCTAGTGACACCAGGCGTGACGAAGGATTGAGGCTTTCTGCGCCTTGTCGATGCTCGCGGAGGAGTCGCAAAGCATAAGTTGATGGAAGTGGGACTTCTCAGTACTGCGCTTGTAGAACATTTGATAGGCACCCCCAAGCGCTTTGCGTGGTGCAAAAACAAACAGAGCCGAAGCCTAGGTAAACCCATGTGAGATATAGCATAAACTCCTAGTATCCCGCGGAATAACCCTTTCATACTCCCATATGTAACCCCCTAAACCCTTTAAGGAGTGTAGTCCGTAAACCTTAAACCCTATATTATATCCCAGGGCCCTAATGGCACCCGAGTTTGAGCCTTGGCCAGGATGTTGGTTTCAAATTTCGGGCTTTGCCATGGGTTTGGGGTCTAGGGTTTGGGGTTTTTAGGCTTTGGGGTTTAGGGTTTAGGGTTGGTTTCAACTTTCAGGTTCGACCACTGGAAACATGAACAGAGTCACCCTAGAAGAAAGCTACCAGCTGACAAGGAACCTTCCTATGGTTTGGCGTTGAGGGTTTAGGGAGGGCGAAGCCGTGAAACTAGCAGCGGAGCTGGAGCTCTCAAGCCTTCACTGTTTGAGCCGCTAAGTGAGAGTGACCAAAGTGATACTGTAGTCAGATAGCGTCCTGCAATACAATATCCATACCTGCTGATATATGTAAGACTGTTGTTTTATATTGTATCTACCCCAAACCCTGAACCCTATATAACCTTAAAGCCACGGCCCAGAGTCTTGCTTCTTGCAGGAGTGGGTTTGTGGTTTAGGGTTTATGGGTTAAGGCTGTAGCGTGCAGGGTGACATCTGACAGCATTGTGCATCTTGCCGATATGATACCTACCTCTACGACAACCTACCTACTGCCTGGTAGGAATTAGCCCTAAAGAATGCGTATGACTTACCCATAAAGCTGCAGGCCATTGAGGCAGCACTAGATCCTAAGCCCTGAACTAAACTGTTTACAGGGTCATTGAGCTCGAGACCCTTTTGGAGGAGAATTTGGAAGCCTTCAAAGTTGGTGGCATCACGTATGTCGACATGATCATGCTGGACTACCCAGGACATGCAGGGAGAAGGGGTTGAAGGTTGGGGTTCTATGAGGGGAAAACCAACACAATGTGCTTGAATGTCTACTTTGCCATTGCGGTCAGCTGCTTAGGCAATCTAATGGAGAAACAATATGAATTGTGGCCTTAGATTCCTGTGGTATAAGGCACAACAACTAGACATCAAAATGACATTGCTAACCATCATAATTTTAGGTCTCTACAGTCCATATTCCCAGTAGGTCTACCAGACCGGAAGGCCACGTCATGAGCAGCTTGATAGTACATGTGCAACCACGGGGATAACCTACAGTTTGTTTTTTTGCAAGCCTGCCACATTCAGGGCCCAGTGGTTCAAATGGCCAAGAAAGCTATTATTCTACATACCTTGGGATCCAGGCAAGAACCCAAGGATGGCACTGCTGCTGTAGGGTTTAGGGTTTAGGGTCTAGGACTGGCCTTTCGAATCCTTTATGACCAGACTCACCAATTACGCAAAAATCCCATGAAGCAAGGTGAACAAAATGAGCATGTGAGATTCACACAGCACGCTTGGGAGCTTACAGTACCCTAGGGGACCAAGTACTCCAATAGCCGAGAATTAGGCCATGATCTGGATAGCTCTTTCGGTACGTACAACCCTCTTATTTAGGTATGTGGACCCAAAGAGGGGCTTTAAGGGTACCCGTCTCATGTTACTCAACAGATGGCCGAGCTGACTACAACTTTTCCTCCATCTCAAGAAGTTGGGCCGTTGCCGAAATTAGGGTCCCCGCATGTGTCCAGGTTGTATGCGGTTATTTTGGGGTTTTATGAGCTATATTAGTCTAAACTCCCAAATGGTGATTATATAGGGGACTATGTAGGGGGTATTATGAGGGATGCTAGGGGTTTTCACTACAGCTCATATGGGTTAAATGACCTAGGCCCCCCCAACAGCAAGAAGGGTTTTTGGTCAGTCGCAGGACCCAACTGCGATTCCATCAAAGGCCAGTGGCAAGCCTTCGAGGAGCTCCGTATTGATAAAGGAGGAAGCACCCTTATTACACTAAAAGATCGCCAATTCTTAACAACCTCACGCGACCTGACCTCAACATTTCTTCATATAGAAATAGTCCCAAGTAGGCCTAGCTTCAGGTTCAGGCTTGGCGTCCGGTTGAGATGATTCAAATTCACTCGGGCACACATGCTAGCAGGGAAAGCAGGTATGTTCCGAGTTCCGTGTGTTCATCATGGAAGGGCTTACAAAGCACCTGGCATATGCTTGAGTAGTGGAACGTCTTTCAACAAGCCACTAAGACGTGGAAGCCCTAACCCCCGACAGGTCCGAGCATGCTTGCAGCGTACATACTATTCGGGTACATGGGCGCTTAGGTTACATGATCTTGTTGTGAAGTCCTGGGGACCCAGCTTGCAAGAAGAAGTTGTAACGGCGTGAAAAGGAAGCAGAGACCCCCTAAGCCCTTTGGGGTTTAGGGTTTCGGGCTTAGGGTTTAGGGTTTCAGGGTTCAGGGTTTTAGGGTTCAGGGTTTTGGGTTTAGGATTGGATATTGATGGCTAAGCTGGGAAAGCAGGAGTGGATCCCTCTAGTAATCCCCATGTAAACGCCTATGAAGGTACGCCTATGGCACTCCCGTAAAGCCCCACACTAAGAAAAAACAGAACCCTGGAATGTTTGGATTCTCAAGGTAATTGGGACCCGACTATAATACGGGCCCTTACATTTAGGGCAGCCCAAAGCGACGCTGGTTTTCCAAACCCTAAACCCTGAGCCCATATGGTCACAACAATCTTTAGACCATCCCAAAAAAGGACCCCCATAATCCCCTGAAGACCCTAAGCCTTAACCCTACACCCTAGACCCCAAACCCTAAACCCTACTATTAATCCCCAAGCTCTGAACAACCTCACCAGATGAGTAGTATTTGGGGGGGATACTATGGTACCCATTATAGAGTAAGATATTATCCTCCTTTTGGGGTATAGTATTTTATATGAGGAATAATATCTTACCGGGCTTAACCACCAAAAAAACACCATTCAATAATATAACCCCAATATAACCCCAATATATACCCTATTATGATATAGTAGTTTCCATTTTCTTTTCCATTATCCCTAAACCCTAAACCCTAAACTCGCTACCCAGATGTGATTCCGTTCTGGGGCTTCCATTGGTCAAGGAGATGTTGGCGGCGGGGCAGACCAAGAGTTTGGCTGTACCTTGGCTGGGGGTTTAGGGTTGAGGGTTTAGGGTTAAGGGTGTATAGGGTTTTTTATAAGCTTTATAGGATTTAGGGTTAAAGGGGTTTAGGGTGTGTAGGTTTTTTATATACTGTTCATAGGGTTCAGGGCTAAAATGTAAGGGCTTGTAATAAGGTGTAGGACTCAGGGTTAAAATTGTTTTAGGGATCATACGGTGTATAGCGCGTTGTTCAAAGTACTTCTTGTTTATTCTTGTTGGCGAGGGGTGGCTCAGGGTTGATGAGGGTTTAGGGTTTAGGGTTTAGGGTTTAGGGTTTAGGGTTTAGGATAGGAGGCATCACCCACAGTACTTGGAGGGTCAGGGGGACTTAGTCTTACCTAGCCAATAGCAGAACTTTAACCTTTTTGGGCTTCCTTTTTGGGTCTCTATAATAAAGTTCAAGCTCTTTTGAGCTTTGGTTATTGGGGAAGAGTGTAGTCAGCAGGTTGGTAACCCCTATAACCCATATAATAACCCAAGTTATCCCCATTATTAACCTAGTTACTGAGTCCCCCTGAACTCCAAGTAATCCCCTTGTCCACAGCCATCAGCGTCCTGTCCCAAATCCCTGGTCTGTGCAGCGCTTTCATTATCTGGGGGGTGTTGTTTTTCTCCTGGCCCCAGCCTCACTAGCCACTTCAAAGTAAGACGATCAACAGGTTAACGTCACGGTTGAATCACAGTTTTCGAGAAGTTTGCCTTTCTCGAGTGGACAAGACGCCTAATGTATGCTTATCACTCCATACAATATGATCTGTATCCGCCTGGAAACATCTCTTGTAAACCCTAAACCCTGCACAGCCCGTTCTTGAAAAGGTAAGGGAGGATCTGTCCTGATTTGTGTGGGTATCCCTGTGCATACGAGCTCTAGTCTAAGCTCCTTAAAGGGGATTATGTAGCAGACTACTATGGGGGTTATAAAGGGGGATGCTAGGAGTTGAAACCCTAAACCCTAAACTCTGATCCCTAAACCCTAAGCCTTAAACCCTCCCTAAGCCCCATGAACACTAAACCCCAAACCCTAAACTCTATATTCTAGGGGGTATTAAAGAGGGTTGCTAGAATTTCATACTAGGGCTCATACGCATACTTGTCGGGGCTGCCGTCAATGAATCCCTAGGCAACCGCCAAAAAAAAGGTGTTACATACGGATAATATAGGGTTTATATATATATATGTATTCTTGATATAAGGTTATATAGGGGATATATACGGATAATGGAGAAGAAGATGGAAACTACTACAGTAGAACAGGGGCACCATATAGGGTTGTACGAAAAGATTCCCAAAGCCTAACCTCAATTTTCTCGAAGGTCAGCAACTTTTCGCCTGAACAGCTGGACTGCTTGCTGTCCAACTCCTCCGCAACCCCACCAGTGGTAACTTGCCTGAGATTAGGAGTACCGCGAGTGGTTTGAACATGACTTTGGAAAACTCCGAAGGCCATAGAAATTCAATTGCATCAGGCCGGCAACCTACCCTGGCTACCTGGGTACTTGAGGTCCTCAATTCCTAAGGTTGTGCCCTACAGGTGTAATCGCAAGATTTAAAAGGTGGGACCCGCAAGCCAATGTTCAAACATTCCCTGTATATGACTTTTAGATAGTTGCTATGGTTGCTTATTACACAGCCACAAAAACTGGACTCTCCAACCCGAGGGTCCAATCTACAATCCCTTGATGCGTGGCCTCCTCAACCCAATGAAAACTGTGGGTCTTTCAACGTTCCGGGGACCCTGAGCGTCCAGGTCCCGATCATGCGGGCTCCAGGTACAACAGGGCTTTGAGATTTTAATGATTGGGCCATGACATCTTGTTACTTCAGGTGGAGTTGAAGCCAGCATGATAGAGCATGGAAGCTGGACTCTCTAAACATCTGGTCCCCTAGATTCTAGCTTACCTGTGGCTAGTCGGGAGGCAGGGAATATAATCCCTATACAATCCCTATATAATATCTTCCCTTATTCCCCACTAACCCCGAGAAAGCTAGAGCTAGGGTTGGGAGATGGTGTTCTTCTAACGTCTTGGCTTGTAGCGGTAACAGTCAACAGTCAATGAGTTTAGGGTTTACGGTTAGGGTTTAGGGTTTTTAGGGTTTAGAGTTTAACGATCTGTGCCGTAACCGTCGGGTATGAGTAATGGTCAATCTTTGGATACTAAAAGGACTCAGAAGGTGGGATCAAGGAAGGTGGGGTATAGGAAATAAGCTCCTATATAATAGAGTACATCTTAAGGGGCCTTTAATCCACCTACCTTCATCCCACCCTGTGACAGCCCTCTAAGATATGGATGATATCTTGCAAAGGGATGGTAGTTGCTTGCATCTTCACCCCCCGCCTCCCTAAACCCTAAACCCTAAACCCAAGGCCTATGCCTTGAAGTGAGCTTCCCAGGTCAACCAGCTTCCGTTTTCAATCAGCTACGCGGAGCCCAACATCCTCGAGGAAAATGCCAAACGGGACGTTGCTTGTCCACAGCACTCAAAGGATCCTTCTATGATGTCCATACATACATACGTTTATACTTTATAAATAATGTATATTACTATATATACACATATCTACAAGCACCTATTTCGTGTATATTTACATCTGCATATGTGGTAAATCCCCAGAATACTCATACAGGAACCTCTTTGGATCCAAAAATCCGAAGTATGTGCCAGAGGGTTACCTGAGGGACATGCCGGTTGCAGGGTGATGCTCTTATGGTTTGCGACTGAGGGTTCAGGTTTAAGTCGCTTGGCTGTTTTAGTTTTAGGGTTTAGGGTTTATGGTGGAGAGTTTAAGGTTCGTACGCCCCTAATCCATCACACTAACATTGCCGCCGTCACCTCTTCATCTCTGGTAGTATGCTCCCCTTTGATATACAAACCCCTTCTGGGGAATGTTTCATGTTTGGGGTGTGCTGAAGCTTAATTCTAGTGTGGGCGCCTAAGGGTTGATTTAGGGCTTAGGGTTTAGGGTTTAGGGTTGGTGATACAAGAGTGGAGTATACAGGAATGGTTAATCACATGGCTAGAATATGGAAAATTAAATGACCATATATCCCCTATCGTCCCTACATAACCCCTTTATCATCCTTCTATCAGCCCTACATAACCCTATAATCCTTATAATCCCCATAAGTCTCTATGATATACTCCTTATAATACCCCGATATTATCACGTACAGGGTATCTTGTTTCCATGAGGCTTCAACGGATTGTTTCGCAAACATTCAGTCCTATTAGTAACATCCTAAACCCTAAACCCTAAACCCTAAACAGAAACTGGCTACCTCAAATGACGACAATAGTACTTTATCTAGGCTTCTACATCATACAAATCAAAGCCTGCCTTGCTAGTCCGTGTTTGTTGACACTAAATCGTGGATGCCAGGAGACCTAGCCGTTGCCTGGAGGTCCAGTTGACGATTGTAAACCCTAAGCCCTGAAGCCTAAACCCTACACCCTTACCCAGAGGGTCCATGTACCCAATAATTAGGTACTTGGGTTTAGGGTAATAGTAATTATAGTCTAGGTTTTGGGTAAGTATATGATTGTTGGGTACTTGGACCCTTAGGGTTATAAGCAATATCCACTTTGCCCTGCGGCGGCTTCAAGAAGAGAAATATATAACATATTTCGAAGACTGTGCCTTCCTGAAAAAGGAACTGGGTTTAGGGTTTGGGACTCTGTATCCAGACAGCTCTATAATGTCCATAATGTAACCTAACAGTGCAGTGCACTATCTGACGACGCAGATTACTGCCTTGGCAATGTTTGCGGCAAGTTTCCAGCCGCCTACCCTGAACTCTCACAACAGTGTACCAGAACTCATGATCGCCATGCGGGGCCCACACATGAAACTTCAGAGCTCAGGTGGTTGTCCAGGCATGGGCTCCTTTGGGTGGTTCCACTGGAGGATCCTCAGCAGCATTCTGAGACAAAACTAGGCTATGGCGGATAGAGAGAGTTTTTTTTGCACGCCAAGGGCATTGAGAACCGCTGGAGATCCCCAATAGATTGTAGTGCATATTTCAGGTACCTAGAACCTACACCCTGGTGCAACATTTCCTGCTTCCACAGCGGGTTTGTGGTTCTGTACTTCCAGGCTTGTTGGCTCTAAGCCCTAATCTTATTGGTTCTTAGTAGGGAGTACGGGTATAGAATCCCTATATAGTATACTCCCTTACGCCTTGCTCACAATAAGTAAGTAAACCTGCGCCATGGGTCACACCTGCTGTTCTTTGGCATATGAGCTTTCATGGAATGCGGGGCCGGCATGGCCAATGGGGATGGCTGGGAAAATTGGCCTGGAGTTTCAGTTTTCGGGCTTCTGCTATACCTTTTATCAAAACCCCCATATGTCTTCAACTGGCATCTAACATGGTTGAGGGCTGAGTTGTTTCGGTAATTTGGCTTGGTTGTTCTCCTCTTTGGGACATTTTTTGTACTGTGCAGTGATGCAGCTTGAGCTCCGCTGAATGCTTGAAAAGCTTCGTGCTGGCAGGTGGATGGTTCTGTGCATCATATGGCGTCACGGATCCCGTTGCCAAAGTCCCAGCAAAGTAGATACCACAATCCTTATCACAGCGCTGCTGATACTTGATGGTAATGTAGACCTCTGATTAATGAAGCCCCTCCCCTTCATTGGGATTTTAATGAGCATCCTAATGTTCAGGCCCTTAAAAGGAGGGGGTTTGTTAATCACGGGCCTAGATTAGTCTGTTCCGCAACATCAAGAATTGTCTGGAAACCCAAACCCGTGTCATAGGGTGGCCATGTTAGACGCCCAGGCCAGCGCATGAAGAATCCTTATGGTCAACCCGCATCCCCGAAATTCACTACTCCTAAGCTTACTGGGGGTTAGTAGGGAATATGGGAATATGTCATAGAGGACACGAGAAGGATGATATTCCCTTATTCCCTGATGACCACCAGTACATACAGTAGATCACGTAGTCCTACTCCTGATCCCAAAGCCCCTACTCAACGTTTCGATGAGAATTTCGTATTTTTGGAGTTCAGGCTTCAATGGACTTAGTGACTGCTTGGAGCTGGTGTTTTAACCTGTGACCTGACTTATAATTGCGTTAGCCCATATCAGGCCGGTAAGCGGGTGAAAAGTAAGGCAACGGCCGGCGTACATGATATCTTTCATCAACAGAACCGCCATGGACGTCAACCCTCAGCTCTAAACCTTAAATCCAGCAAGCCCTTCACGCAAGGTTTGCCTGTTGACACATGTTAATTAGGGAACATACCCGACTGAAATCATACTAGCATTGCAAATTCGGTACTTTCTCAACAATCTGCTTATATAATTCCGCATAAGCAGCCCCTCAAGAATCCCACTGTATATCCCTGGTCCCTCGGCGTTGCCATTTTGACAACCTTCATGTGATTGAAGGCGTATTCCTCAGTTAAAAGGTACTGGGCTCCCTGTGAAGACGTGTCAAAAAGATGGTGCTCTTTCCCAAGCTGACCTAGAACCTGTAAAGGGTTCCTAGAAAGATTATGGTCTATACCGTAAACTAACAGATGACTCTTTAACCCCTGCACAACGCCCTGAATTTTATTTGGTGTTGAAAGTTGTTCTTTTTCCGAAGGGCTTAGGTTTGGCTAATGGGTACTTGGCCTTCAGGCATTTCCAAGCCTGCACGAAGAGCCTGCGAGGACCGTCATTTGGAATGGGCAGGATACTGTAGCGGTCAAGGTATTGGGGTTTATGTGGGTGGCTCTTGGTTTGGGGTGTAATGAAAGGCTTATAGGACTTATAGGAGGCCAGTGGGGGGAAGATATGAAAAGTTGAAGACCTTGCCAAAGCGATTAGTTTCCAAGTTGCTTGATCATGCAAGTACTAGTAGTAGGGTTCCGGGCTTGGCTGTGTCAGTGGGTTCCCTGTGATTGCCTACACACTAAATCCTAAATTTGCTTTGGTGTTGGGGTCGAAGGTTTTCATCCTCGGTTACAGTGTGCGGTATAGATTCAGCGTGAAACGTTGCAGTGTGGCATGCAGCCGTTTCTTTTGCCTTGCTTTTTGAGATTTTATAGGGATTATATAGGGGTTAGATAGGGATTATAGGGATTATATTGGGGTCGTATTGGGATAATGGAAAATAAGATGGAAACTGCTATCTAGGGCTTCTGCATGTGCAGAGCATATGGATGCCGTCAAAATCAAGCGGGTCCTTTTCGCCCTCATGGTGGCCAATGTCCAAACAGGACCCTAAGGGTCCAAGGACCCGAAATAATAGGGTGTTAGGGCCCAAATACTATAATATTCATGGTATTCGGGCCCTGAAACCCTATCATTTGGGGTCCTTGGACCCTTAGGAAAAGTGATCGTCCTGGCATATGGTCCATGGTTCATGACAGATCATGGAGTTCCCAGGTGACCGGCTAAAAGGATCCCCCCAGATGGAAAGGGCTCAATTACCAGGTTCCCCAGTAGTGCCTAGATGGAAAATGAAATGGAAACTGGTGTTATATAGGGGCCTTAGAGTTTATGGGTTCAGTGTTCTACATACTCCAGTCGTACACTTTTTCCCTTTTTATCTTGGGGTCTCCTCTTTAAAGCTGAGCATGAGGAAAAAGGTACCCTTATTATCAAGGGGTTACTGAGGAACCTAGATTATCTTCGAGGCCCTTTAATCATCAATCTCCCTCGGTTTCGGGTGTAGGGTTTGGGCCTTACTGGTCCTTTAATGAGTTTTTTTTTTGGGGGGGTGGTTGTGCCTTAGGATCCTTGGAGCAGAAGCGAAGAGGACCCTCAACCCTTTGGTAGAAGCAGCGAGGTTTGGACTGGAGCAATGTTAAGTCCCTGTCTAGACTAACCTACGTGGGTATTGGTCTAAATTCC